AGACTGTCATAAAAAATCATATATGAGTCAGATGGGTCAAAAAAATCGGATTTGTCTCGTTCAGACTGTCATAAAAAATCATATATGAGTCAGATGGGTCAAAAAAATCGGATTTGTCTCGTTCAGACTGTCATAAAAAATCATATATGAGTCAGATGGGTCAAAAAAATCGGATTTGTCTCGTTCAGACTGTCATAAAAAATCATATATGAGTCAGATGGGTCAAAAAAATCGGATTTGGGTCGGATTTGCCTGCAGTGTGAACCAGAGTTTGCACTACCTCTTTATTGTCAAACATAATATTTACCCATCAATTTTTGCATGATAATTGTATTTCATTTTCATTCTGTTTAATATTCAACAAGTTGAACAGATAATCCACCCTAACCCCGCTACTTGGTATCGGTATCGGTATCGGTATCGGCGAGTACCCAAACTCAAGTACTCGTATTTGTACTCAGTCTTGAAAAAACTGGTATCGGGACACCCCTAGTTATAAGCAAACTAGCATCCAGTGAATTTTATGTTTAGAAAAGGGGGAAAAAAGGCTAATCAAGATACTTTTGAGGTTTTGCCTAGTGAGCATTTGTCTGTACACCCTGAAAATCTTGCTCGTTCCCAGTTTTAAGTTTTCACAAGTGAATCTGTTACAAAGGTTTTTGGTTGTATTTGTTTATCAGCACTCTTACAGCACACTTTTTCTGAGAAGCAGCTTAATCCCCGAAATGACTAGTTCTCAATTTCCTTTCTTTGAACCACACAGCCGTTTTACCTCGTTCACAACTGAACACCTCCTCCTGGGCAGTCACACTTCCATAATCTGAAACAGCATTTCCCGCGATACAGGAAAATAATGAAACAAACCCATTAAGTCCCGCTCCTGTAACGACTTTACTCTCGTGCCAGTGTCAGCTCCTCCAGTGCTCCACAACCAATATATTCAGCCAGACGTGCTTCCTTTTGTTCTGTCTTTTTATCTGGAGCCTAAAGGCAAAGGCAGTCTGTTTGCTACCCATGGCACCCACCCCCACTCATCCTCCACAACTCCCCTAGTGGAAGTTTGGCCAGCAGTGCCTGCCTGGTGTGGCTCATTGTAGGTGAAGTGGAGCATACCAACAATTCCTGGAGGGCAGTGGTTTAGGGAGCACAAAGCTACTCTAMACCTGACCTTTATACTTCTTTTTTTTCTTGACAGGAAGCTTACTAACAAGGGGTAGGAGGTGGAGGGGCCTACTTGGTCTACCCTGAAGTGGAAACCCAAGTAGACATGTGCTCAGACGATGCTGTCATCTTTATTTAGCCTTCATCTGTCAGCCTGAGCATACAGAGGTCAATGTAGCGATGCAGACATGCCGGCATGTGTACACATGTAAACACTCGTACCGCCTCTGTTCAAACCTAATGGGGCCAGGCAGACGCTGTCCTGAGACCGCTGACTCAGAATGCGTCATCTTATGCTGGAATTGACTGATCAAAGTAAAACTAGTTTGAAGGCTTTAATAAATAAAAGTCATAAAAATGAAAATTGGTAACATTCTCCTGCAGAACTTGAAGGAAATGTCAGCGAATGAACACTTTGAGAATGTAACCTTTCTGATGGTGCACAGCTTCTATGGAGAGGTGAGAGTTTGTGCACAGTTTTCATAAGGCTACTTCATTACACATTCATTGATATTTTGTATTGGTGTTTCTAATAATCAAAAGGAGTAAAATGCCATGAATGCCTTTGTAATAAAAACATAAATGGTTCTGTAAAGTAAACTGAGAGAGGAAATTACCTTTTTCCTTTTATGGCTCCACTGACCTAAATTAACTGAAATTGCTAGCCAGCCATGCTGGCGGCATGCTTCTTAATGAGATGCCAGCGGTGTTCATTCCAGACTCGCCCCAGGATGCCACTTTTATATCAGGAATTAAATATGTGACAGTAAACATAATACAATTTATAATTTTGAAAAGTAATCCATAGTTTTTGCAACTGAACATTAAAATACATGTGACCAACAAATATACAAAAAATAAAAGGAAAAAACTTTATATTTAAGAAATTTGGCATTAAACAAATGACTTTTTTCCCCAATTTTGTTACATGACTGGCACATTTTTTGACTTGGTTCAGCCAAACTGAAACAGGAAGTGACATCAAAGAGAAACTTTCTAAGAAAACAATAATGCTTGAACTCTGACTCTTCTTCAACTCTCTCTGACAGTAACTGAAAATAATGTAAAGAAACCTCAGATTCTTCTCTCCTGTCTGTGTTGTTTACCGTTGTAGCAACGCTTAGTTTACATGCCGTCATTCYCCTTTGACATCACTTTATTCATCTATGAGTTTTCAAGAACCTGTCTGACCCTGCCGTCAACCGTTTAAATCAGTTCTTTCTGTTGTCATCTGATTCTGTGAAGGATGACAGCTGTCATTCTTAACCACATGAGTGTCTCAGTGGTCTTGCTGTGCTGGCTGCAGCAGTGTCATGTGGCAACAATGACTCTAGTCTAAAACTGCATTTAATCAAGCTCCATCTGACTTTAATCAGCATCTTCTTTTACCCCTCTCTGCTTGGCTCCTAATTGTTTTTACCCTGACAGCAGGGTTTTTTAGTCTGTTTTCTGTGTCCAGCTCAGTTTTATCTGCTGTTTTGTTATTTTCCTTGTAGCATTTCTTGTTTCTCTGAGTAAAGGTGAGACCTAGAATGAATTCACTAGTTTAACTGACTGCTACATAACAGTAAAATGGTGTGCGTCTGTGTGAGGACTGATGGCCTCTTTCCCTCCAGCCTTCTTGTTGCTGCCTCCGTCAGCTTTGTCACCACATGGAAACAGCTGGTCTCCAGTGGTGAGAAGCCATCTGCACGAAAATGTCATAAGGAGGGACAGACATATGACCCGGCAGGCAAAAACAGACTAGAAGAAGTGTTCGGGTTATTCGGAGATTGTTAGGGATTTTTCTTGTGAATGAAGATGTGGTTTTTATCTTTAAAGAATTTATAGGAATACAGACATTCTTTGCCAGTGAAACACCAGACAGATTTAAAAGTGGGTAAACCCCTTCAGCTGCATCGGGGATGTTCCTGTAGTAGCGTGTGCCTCAACTAGTCTCAGCACTTTTGTATGAAAGTGTAGGAAAAACAGATTGAAACTGACACAGCCCTGGATCATTATTCAAGCCATGGGGGGAAAAGGTTGCTACAAACTATCATATTGTGGAGCTGAGACGGGCTCTGAACTGGTGCAAGCAAGTCACGAGGCAGCAGCCAAGCAGAAACGTTCCTGTTGTGCATCTGTGAGAGTTCTGTCCTGTGTCTGCAAGAGAAGTCGTTCCATGGAAATCCCTGACATGAATTTAACCTTGTATGGGAATKTTTCTCTTTTTCCAAGGATGTGGTGGTGGTCTTTTCTTGTGTGTGTGTTTATCACTTTGCCCGTGTTTGCCAGTAAGTAAGTGGGCAGTTGAGTTCTTCATATACAGAATGAATAGGGACAGAAGCAACTGGGGGCGTTTTTATCACTTTACATCCACACTGTATCCACCTGAAAGGCCTCTGAGCTGTTATCGGTGACACCAATGACACAAAAAAAAAAACCAGAACAACCATGAGGTCTGCCCTATTGTGCAGCTAAGATGGGAGCTCTTAAAGGCAGACCGACTCTGTGTCTTATTTTGCATGTTGTAGATAGCCTTTTAATCAATATCAGTATGAGGGAAAAGAGGATAATTCTGAATAAATTGATGAGCTAATGGCTAATCTAAGTGAAGCTATAACCAAAGTGGATTGCTTTGCTATTTGTGCTCACAAAAACTGTAAAATTCAATGTGAATGACCATGAAATGTGTAATTACTGATGATGTAAAGGATCTTTTTTACATTTTAACACTGCAGCAGCGTTTACCTACAGAGTATTTTGTGTTTAGCTGATTTATTGAGATAAAAACAAACAGAAATACAAATGAACTGTAGATTACTTTTTAATTTACATCACTGTATATTACTTTTTAAAGAATTTATATTTTTTTAGAGTGAGAACGCCAATATACGGAGATGTTCCAGTTGATTTTTCCAACATGGGACACCTAAATTTCTACTTCTGAGTGCATTTGTGCTCATTTGTATTTCAGTACTGGAAAGGAAGATAGCAAAGGCATTTAGACTGAAAGAACAATCATTTATTTGGCTAACATTCACTAGCTTTGACAAAGCTGGGCTCTTTTGTGTTGAAATGATTCAGGTCATTAGGTTGCCTTGAGCTTATTGGTAATAGATAAGAATATAAAATACCAGAAGGTCATTTGACTGGAATGCTTGGACTAAAATAGAACCAGTTGCCACATTTTAACCTTTGCAATTGTTTTTGTTTTTGTTCACAGCAAAAAGCCTCAGGCAAGGTGCTATTTGACTTGGTGTGCTCCCACATGAATCTTATTGAAGGTGATTACTTCGGCTTGGAGTTTCAAAACCATCAAAAGATGATGGTAAGAAAACGAAGCTCAAATATGACCTCTTCTTACGTATTTTACAAAGTAATTTTTTATTTAAATTTGACTTGTGGTGCTCTTTTGTTTCTTTACAGGTGTGGTTGGACCACATCAAACCACTTATCAAGCAGCTCAAACGTAAGTCTTTAAAAATCAGAGTAACTGTATATTATCTACACAAGTCTCTCTTCAAAATTCAATTGTTCTTTGTGCTTTATGCACAGGACCAAAACACACAATCCTGAGGTTCAGTGTGAAGTTTTTTCCCCCAGACCACGCTCAGCTGCTGGAGGAGCTGACGAGGTGAGCTTCCCTTCAGATAATCTAACTCCTCTTATCTCCACACCACATTTGTTTTCCACTTGRCGCTGAGATGTACATTTGTGTTTAAGTCAGTGTGACGGATCTCAGCTGCGACTCAAAGCAATTGTGGACACATAAATGAAACATGTGCCCCAATTCCCAGAGGATTTATTCTCTTTTCAGTTGTCATGGCTGCCACGTCTTGCGTTTCGTCCACTGGAGATTAGCGTGGGAGAGCTAATGATTTTCTGGTCTCTGTTTTGTAGTTCTAGACATGTGCTTCGTACATTTAGAGACAGAGAGGATAATCAATTCACCAAAGGTAAAGCTTGTATAATTGTTTTAAACTTAATAAGATATGGAGTTTGATTATCCTTTTAGTTGTTTTSTTTGATGTTTTAACTGAATCCAGTTTATTTTATTTAGTGCACAACAAAGGTAATCTCAGGGGACACCAAACAAAACATTCAGATAAAACGCTAATTAGTAAAAATTTTCTATCTAAGAAAACTGGCAGGTTGTGTCGAATTTTCACGCCGTTGCTGTCTCCCATTCTGAGCAATGTGTTGGGGACAGTGGAGAGGAAAGACTCCCTTTTAGCAGAAAGAATTCTCCAGGAGAACCAGGCTCGGATTGACCAGCTGAGGTTAAAGAGGACCGGAAAAAGACACAGACAAACACAGAATGACTGGTTTATGTGTAATTTCTATAGGGAAAAATAGATTAAAGAAAAAATTATAAAGAGTGAGGAAATGTGTTCAGTTTGTCCTCCAACAGTCTAATGGCTTTTTTTCACTGGACTGCCTGGCTTTGCTTCAAACCCAGGTTCACTATAGCTGCGTTTTGATTGCAAATGTACGCAAAACTTTGTCAATATTCTGTTAATGTCGAAAAACACAGTTTCCCAACTGCRGTGTTTCCATTAAGTAAGAAATGCTATTAAAGTCACGTGAATACGTTTGTTCTTGTGATAAGTCATTACAAACATGGCGGCGATGGATGTAAACACATAGCATGTTGCTACCGCGACACTAGCACTCATTATCAGAAGAGACGTCAACGTCTTTTATCGAGGCTTTCCCGCGACAATCCTCTACTTGGGAGCGGCTACGTATGCTTTTGTAGTCGGTGAGTTTACTATTTTATACTACTTCTGTGATACTACTATTTCTACTTCCTGTTATCTTCTTCGTCATCGTCTTTTTCGCCAGTAGAAACAGCCGGTTGTTGATCATGTGACTCCCATGATGCGAAAAAAGTTTTTCCATTGCAGTTTTGCGAAAAACACAAATTTCGATACGGCCAAAATACCACCTCATCCTAGCGCAAAAAYATTTTGTCGAAAAATGTAATTTTTTTCAAAATTGACGTGTTTCCATTGAGCAAATTTATTTTCGAAATTCTAATTTGCACATTTTCATGGTCAATGAAATGCAGCTAGTGTTTGCATTAACCCTTAGTTCCACCTCAATTTCTGGAACCACAAGAACTGTGGTTCTGTTTGGGCCAGCTTGCCCAGCCTGATTTGACATGAGCTAGTGTTGCTCATTGATTGGTTCACCGACCGAGGGGATAGGTTACATCACACATAGGTGATTAATTATGGTTTGCAACAATTTTTACCCACGAGTTCAACTTTACAACAACAGGGAGCTACCAAACAGCAAGAAGCTAACATTAGCTTACAGTCCTCCATCGTCTTGACCTCTCTTCTTCAGCATCCTACTGTTGGATAGTCCAGTACGGTCGTAGTTACTTTTCATTTGAGTTTAGTGTAGCCCATTGTTATGCAACAAATAAATCTCACTCAAGATATCCAAGCCAGCCCTAACTATAATGATTTATCTAAAAGAAAAGTCTTAAGTCTGGTCTTAAAAGTAGACAGAGTGTCAGCCTCACGGACAGATTCTGGAAGTTGGTTCTACACTGCAAAAATTGTACTTCATGTAATCAAGTCTTACAGTCTTATATTCAGCCAAAAAGTATTTTTGATCTTGTTAACCTTGACATTTTCCTTATTTCAAGAAGTCTTACCAAGTTGATTTGTCAGTCACTATAATGTATATCTAACTTACTTTTAGATGGCTAATTTAGGAGCCTGATAACTGAAAGCTCGGCCTCCTGTTCTACTTTTAAAAACTTTAGGAACCACAAGTAAACCTACAGTCTGAGAGTGAAGTGCTCTGTTAGGAAAATATGGAACAATAAGATTTTTAATAAGATGGAATTTAATTAACAGTTTTGTTAACAATTAAATGTTAAAATTAAGATTTTTAAGACTGTTCTGAATTTGAAAGGGAACAATGGAGAGAAGCTGAAACTAAAGAAATATGAATTTTCCTGAATCAGAACTCTGGCAGTAGCATTTTGGATCAACTGAAAACTTTTTAAAGAGATTTTTTAACCCCCCGAGTGACAATAATTCAGCCTAGACGTGATAAATGCATGACCCAGTTTTTCTGAATCRTTTTGAGACCAGATGTTTCTGATTTTAGTGGATGTCATTGAGCTAATCAGGTTCTATTGTTTGTATTTGTGGCCAGATACCTGTTTGCCCTCCAGATAAGACAGGATCTTTCCTGTGCACGCCTCACCTGCAACGACACCAGCGCAGCCCTGATGGTTTCCCACATCATTCAGTGTAAGTCTCACATTTTCCTCCTTTAGCTCAAGACACCAAAGCACCAACAGATCTGATAGCCTCCCCAAAAAAAGCTATTTTTTTAATGTAGCGCTTATCAAACATTGTCACACCACAGTCTGCGAATTGTTGCAAATTGATTAGCGGAGCTGCTTCAGATGAGCCACAAATTTTCAAAACCAGACGTTTTTGAAGCTGCCTTTATATCCAGTCGTGATCCAAATGATCATTTTAATTTTTTTTTACCATAAAACACCAACTTTGAAGCTGATAGTTTTTTTTTATTTTTATTATTTCAAATGTCCTTTCTGCTCACGTCTTAGCCGAGATCGGAGATTTTGAGGAGAGCCACTGCCGGTCCCATCTCCTCAACAACAACTACATTCCAGACCAGATGCCCCTGATTGACAAGATCATGGAGTTTCACTCGAAGCATATGTGAGTTTCTGAGCTATAAAAGAAGAATCACAAGAATCCAATYTGTTTTAACCCTGCTCACAAGGTCGGTGAAGTCATGAGCTGAGCACACATTACTCCCCTCAGCCGTGAACAGGAAGTGTTGTTGCAGACTGTTATTGTCCCACAGGGGTGTTTCATTACACAGGTGACACATTCAGGAAAGCAGCCATTGAATAAATGCCTGATTTCTCTTTGACGTACCGTGTAGGCTAGCCAATTTTTGTAAGTGTTTTTAAAGCGTCTAGCTTTTTTTTTTTCTTATTTATTTTTGAAAACCAGGTTTCTTTTGGTCCAAAAAAGATAAGTGAAATTCATCTTTTAACCCACAAAATGACACACAGACAGCTGTCAGCAGCTAGGTTAGTGGGGTAAAAACCCAGATTTTAGTCTATTTAAGGACGGCTAAGGACAGCTTTATGAGAAGTGCAGTTGGTTTCTTTCTATCTAGTTTATTGCTTTTGGGAGTATATTACTGGAAACCGTCCAGATCTCCTCACACCATCAAACATCTCTCCTCGGTGCATACGTTATTCGAGCAGCAGCTTTGCCAACACTTGCCCCCTCCCCCCCAGTTACACTGAGTCATGAACACACACACACACGCGCACAGTGGGCGGCTGCTGCAGCATCAGAGGAGCTCCATTAGATCTGACTGCTCTCTTTGACTTGTCTACTGATAACTGGAACCCGTCTGACTGGAGCGCCATGTCGGGTTAAATCTACTGTTAATTACCACACACAGGAAGCAGGAAGGCTTATCCACTGATAGCAATTAGGAAAGTTAGTTAGCAGCCCCTCCCCAAACCTCCCGCTTCTGCTCCAAAAACTCAGATTAACAGAGGAAACCTGGACGCCACGCTGTCTTGTTTGTTCACCCTCAAACAGTGGGAYATACAGCAGGACGATAAGCCAGGATTTAATATATTTAACAGAAAAATTGGCTGAAAGGATTGGGAATATTAAGCTAGAGTACAGGTTGGTACCCTCAAATGGTTTTGCAGTCAGTATATTTACTTATTTTTTGCCCATTTTGGTGTGTGCTCTTAACAAACACAAAAATGATCACTGCTCTGTCAGTTCTAAAGGGGGGTATTATTAATTTTCCAGCCACGTTTCAAGTTCAGTTCTATATCACAATCAAGTAACTGTTAYCTTCAGCTGTTATGAAAATAACTTATGTATGTATAATTCTTAATGCCATTTGCAACCTTTCGTAGGAGCATATTAAAAAATAATACTATATTTTAATATTTGATTAAAATATAGTATTATAGAATATAATCTAGAATAGTTAGAATACCTTTGATCAAACTGCCAGATAAGTAATACATGCAATTAGACATGGACTTGAGGTCAAGCGACTTGAGACTTGACTTGGATTTTTGGTCAAAGACTTGGACTTGACTTGGAACCAAAGACTTGCGCACATCTCTGGGATTAACAAAACAAGATTTAATAGAAACACTGTTTTATTATTTTTGTCTTTTCTTGGTAATTGTTGCCAATTACATCAAATATTCTTTAAATCTGAAATTTTGTTGTTGTAGAGGTCAGTCACCAGCAGAATCAGATTTTCAGTTACTAGAAGTGGCTCGGAAGCTGGAGATGTACGGGATTCGGCTCCACCCTGCCAAGGATCGTGAAGGCACGAGTTTAAGTCTGGCYGTGGCTCACACAGGGGTCCTGGTCCTACAGGTCTGTAGAATACATACAGGGCAAATCTGAAATAATGTGGGTTTTAGTCATTTGTGTTTCCCAGTCCAGTTCTGTGGCTGTTTTTAATTTAAGTTTAAGTGCATGTGACATGCATATCTTTAAAATACAAAAAATCAAAGTAAACCTGTTTTATATCATATATATATA